CTCACTTTTCGGCGCTACTATAGATGTGAAACTCTTGCATATAAAATATCTCTAGATCCTGACCAGATAGAAAGTAAATGTTTTCGGCAAAGTTTTTCAGGAAGTCAAGTTTTCTCACTATGCGGTGCTAGTATATAGGTGCCTTTCTGGCATATTCAATAGTTCGAGATCTTGATCAGCGAGAAAGTCGCTGTCTTCGGCAAAGTTGTTTAGGGGGTCAAGACTTTTTGGCTGGTAAACATTAGTTAAGAATTTTCTCACCACGTGGTGTTAGTATACATGTACACTTGTCACATATGCTATATCTCGAGATCCTGACCAGATAGAAAGTTACGGTCTGCGACAAAGTTGTTCAGGAGGTCAAGGTCTTTTGGATGGTAGACAGTAGTTCCGAATTTTCTCACTTCATGGTGCTAGTATACATGTGAAATTCTCGCATATAAAATATCTCACGTTCTTGACCAGATGAAAAATTACTGTCGTCGGCAAAGTTGTTCAGGATATCACAAAATTTTTGCTCGTGGAAAGTTGTTCAAAATTTTTCTCTCTACGTAGTGTTAGTGAAATGTGAAATTCTTGCCTGTGATATATCTCGAGATCCTGATCAGATAGAAAGTTACTATCTTGAACAAAGTTGTTCAGGAGGTTAAAGCCTAGAGTTTGTGAGAAAACTCTGAACAACTGTTCACCAACCAAAATACTTTGACCACCTAAACAACTTTGGTGCAGATAGTAACTTTCTATCTGCTTAGGATCTCAAGATATAGCATATGCGAGAAGTGTACATCTATACTAACACCACGTGGTGAGAAAATTCTTAACTAATGTTTACCAGCCAAAAAGACTTTGACCTTCTGAACAACTTTGTCGAAGACAGTAGCTTTCTATCTGGTCAGGATCTCGAAACAAACCACATGCGAGATTTTCACGTGTATTCTAGCGCTACGTAGTGAGAAAATTTTGAACTACTGTCTACTAGCGAAATTTATCTGATATCGGCAATCGAGAATTTCGCGTGTATACTAACACCACGTAGTCTAAAAATTCTGAACTATTGTGCACCAAGCAATAGGCATTGACCTCATGAACACTTTTTCGAAGACAGTAATTTTCTACCTGTTCAAAATTCAGAAATTTCAAAGGGTCATAGAACTTCAGGGATATCCAGAAAACTTGAGGGAAGTCAATACCCTCAGAGAAGCAGAGCATTTAGAAATCTTCAGAAAATCACAGAGATATCTAGGGCAGTTCCAATAGTTTCAGGAAAGTGCAGACTTTTGGGAAAGTTTATAGAGAGGTAAGGGTTAGTTTTGTAGTATCCTAGTCCCTGCTACAAAACCCATAAACAAAATAACTAATAAAACAATCCAAACACCGAGCACCGAAGCCAACGCCCGGGTAACCGGGTAAAAGAAATGCAATTATGGAATTCTAAACGATGTTGAGCTGCTCGCCACTGGAACTGGAGGCAGTCTCTCGCCGCCCAGAACGTTATAACAAAATTATATCATGACTATATCAACTTCTGTTATACATAATAACCGTTGATATAATCTTGTTTTAAGAGCTCTGTGGTGAAATGAGGAATAAAAAATCATCATGGTATTTGACATAAAATGGTTACATAATTTGTTAGAATAAAAATTAAAACAACATTTTAACTAAGTATTAGTAGCACGAAAAATTAAACGGTTTGTTTTATTTTAATTTTTGTTTTGTTTTAGCCTTAAGCCGGTTGTAGAATTTAAATTTATTTAAGGGCTACGGAAAAGTTTTTCACATGGAATTGGGTTAATAGGGTTAATGTTCCTATTGTCAGCCTAAGTGTCCCTAATATTGAGCCCATAAATAAAATTCGGCGGTAAGCATTTTCTGATAATGATAAACTAAAAATCAAACATATTAATTTGCATTGTCCAGATGATGCATTGTTCTACGAAAAATTTAAGAGCGGGAGATTTTTATTAGATCCATTGGCCAAAGTGCTTTTTCTCCAATTTTTTTTTTTTTAGAAGAGAATACTGATTGGGATGCTAAGAATTAAATAAATTATTACATTCAACTCTCCTTTACTCGATCTCTCCTTAACTTGATTCTCCCTAATTCGATGGAAATCCAGGGGCCTCATTTCGCAAGTCGAATTTGGTAAGCGACTAGGCTACTATATATTTATTCCGTTTTGTTTTGTTACATATACTTAAATTAATTACTTTCATAGAGCTAAGTGTAATGCTTATGCTACTTTATAATCAGAAAAAATAAAATTTCTTTTTAGCGAGTGCAATGTAAACGGCAATATTTGAGAATTATAACAAACTTTGTTACAAATATATTTAGCCGTTTACGTCGGTGCAGAAAGAGTGCAGATAGTGAGAGGTGTTGGGAACACAAGATTTATTTTTAACTCAATTGCCGGCGCCAGCGAACTAAGAAGATTCTGCCTGGCATACACAAAAAGTTAGCTTGCATCTACTCCTTCGTCAACAGTAGATATAGACTAGATAGTAAAGGCACCAGATTTTCCACTAGCCAAGATTGTTAAACGTCTGGGTTCGAATCCCTGTGGCAGCTATTTAGACGTTTTTTGTGTTTGTGAAGCAGGCTAAAAGGAAAGAGAGTGAGGGGTGCTGTGTTGGGGGGGGGGGGTTAGCAGATGATTTTTTAAATATTTTATGTTACCCAAAACCGTCTTAAAAAGTCCAGTTGATACCCTTTTTAGTTTTTACCCTACTGGGTTATTTTGTAACAAGGTGTGTTAAAAATATGATATAACCCTAACAATTGTTGTTATATTCTTGATAGTACGTAGAAGATTTCTTGTTATATTTTTTGTTATTTTAACTACAAACGGTACATGTTTTATAACAGACCATGTTACGAATATTTTTCTATCTCAGTAACACAGTGTGTATTATTTCTGATACTTCCTTCTGGTCGGGTATCTACCCCTTCCTGGTAGGTCCTAAGCCGTTCGTGCAGCAGTTAACGTATCGAATGACACCAGCTGGGTGCCTAAAATAAATATATTCAATATTGTCGATAATGCTAGGATGAGCATTTTTGTGTCACTCTAGTCGTCTCACTCGACATGTAAGAATTATGGAACACTGTAATGCATAAAAGGAAAAGTTCTTATGGCGATTCTATTTTAGAACTCGACATTACTGGTTCTCCCGTAAGCAACTGACCAATCTAAAATAAGGCTTTCCGTAATGTACCTACCGTAAATCTCTGGTTAGACTAACATTGAGAAAGCCCAGTTGATTAAGTCCACCGCGTGTCAATTAACTCGTTCTATGTTAAGGCATGGAAGAAATTATGCCAAAAGTTTCGATAAATTCAAGACAGCTTCATGCGTTTCAGGAAGAATTCTAGGATCTTTAAGAAGTTCTGGGTATTTAATCGAAGATCTAAATGCTCCAGTACACACAAAAAACTTCAAATATATATTGGAAACATTACAGAATTCAAGAGATTTTCAGAGAAGTTTAAGGATTTTTTGAACAGTTCCATTTATTTCAGAAGAGTACTAAAAACTTCAGGGAAGTTTTAAGAACATCAGTGGAAGTCAGATAACCTCAAGGTGTTCAATGATGAAAATCTTAAGGCCAAATAAATCAGAGAAGTTTTGAAAAGTTTGGCTAATTTCATTTTTAGAGATTTTTCAGGTACTTAAAGGAAGATCAGAAAACTTCAAAGTAGTTCCATTAATTAAATGCAATACGTCAGACATAAAACATCGTAGCGTTTTGATCCACCGTTCACTGAAAAGCCAATACTGGAAAAAATAGCGTATTTTTAAGTTTCACACAGCAAAACAAGTTGTTGAATATTACATTGAAACTGCTGCAACCAGGTCAATCCATCGGATGTGTAATATCACATTGTACGATGTACATCGATTTTGCGAACAAAATTACATCCATTGATGTAATATTGTATCTGCTTTTCGCTATTACATCATTATTTCATACATCAGCTTGAATTACGTTGATCGATAATACATTTTTTTTCTGTGCATGTCGAGCTGATTGCAGACAAGTTTTACCCGTACCCTACACAGCAAAAAATTAATTTTAATATCACGTCAAATTGGATGCACTTCAATCGGGTCAAAAATATGGTGTAATATTACTTGCCAAAAAGGGTAAAATTATCATTAATACAGTGCATGTGCTGACATTACGTTGCTTTTACTGCATTTGTTTATTTGTGTGGCCATAAAAATTACATGAGATTTGCGACATGATTGAAGTGCATCCTCTTGGATGTAATATTAAAATTTATTTTTTGCTGTGTTGCTTTAATTAGAGAGATCTATATTGTGTTTACTAAATTACAATCCTTAAAAGCAGTGCATGGTTTTTAGTTAGACGGACGTTACACAAATGAAAAATTAGTTAGTTCTAAATTTACCATGGTGTACGGTCCAAATGTTGGGGATAATAACCGTTCACTATGAAACAGCTTGAACCCATTTGATGGTGGCCCAATTTTTTCACGGACACCCATTATCTATCTTTCTTGTGGTGCATTATTCCTACAACTAGGTTCAATCTATTTATTGTGGTGTTGTCAACGAATATTGCTGATTCCTCCTCTTTAAAATTCTTGCATTTTCTTTACTTCTGGGAAAAAATATGGTTTTCCAGAAAATGAGTAAGGATTTCGCATAAAAACAAACATAGTTTATGGTTTTTTGCTGATTTCCAAACGAATTAACTGAATGATTCATATGATGTTCAATGATCCATCTCTCCTAGCATTGTATTATCGTTACAGTTACCTTACGTAAACCAATTTACTCCTCTCCCTCAACTATAAATCAAAACAAGAACCTCCGAAAAGTTCTCATTCTCCGAAATTTCACTTCTCTCCCTACTTGACAGTCGCCGCTCGAACTCAACTCTCAAGCGTGACGATCATCGATCCGTCCAGAAAATCAAACCTCTCGAGAGATCCCCGTATAAAAACGTCGCGATCGCACCTCGTCTCAGCTCAGTTCGCAACCGTGTGCCGATAGTGAGGAAGTGCTGCTGTGTGAATTAAGAAGTAGCTGTTTCTTTTAATTGTGTGTGCAATATCATCATGTGGCTGATCAAATCAGCTGCGGTGTGCCTCGTTCTGGCCCTGCTGGCTCACACCGGCCACAGCCAGCAAACTACGGCCAAGGTTCTGTGTTATTACGATGGAGCCAACTTCCTGATCGAAGGTAAGTCAACAACCGGAGACGATAAAGGACTGGGCGACGACGACGAGAAACATGATGTCATCGACGCATTATGATACACCGGCTCTCTGCGTTGATCGGTGTGATTTGTGAGGTTCTTGTGTTTCCTCTATGGAGTTCTCACAGTGGCAAGTTATTTTGTACGTTAAAACTGAATTCTTACTTCAAAGATACGTTCTATTGTTGTCCACTGATTGCTGGCCTCAACCGCTGATTTCCGTAATGGCGGTTAGCTAACATATAAACCACACCATGGGAATGACTAACAAGTGACAATTGCCTCTAATTGTGATCTATTTTTGCTCACACTTGTCACGGCTTTACTTTAAAATATGAACTCGTGCCTCAAGCAAAATGACCTAATGAGCAGATTACCTTGTTTTGCCGGGCTCGGTGTTGATGCGTCTGGTTAACCGGTTTCCGGCTTTTTTGTGTGTTTTCGATGTCGTTGCTTTTGTGCGTTATCATAAAATTTGATTTTGGGAAGGTTATTATTTTTGAAAAACGGGATCCACTAGAACACGCTTATAGCGATTATGAAAGGTGTATAGATCGAGGGAGGTCATCGGAGGTTACTTGCAAACCGGGTTTTGCGCTTATCAGGCCGGGTGTATACAAACAATTTATGCACGCGATGGTCGATTCTTTAAGTGGACTACTAGCGATTCGCAAACTTGGAATACAGAATCGAAGAGTCTATCAGTAAAACAAGTACCGTAAAACGGGGTATCTTTAATAATACTCTATGCGCTTTCCCGAATTAGAATCATTGGTTCCAAATTGCAGCTTAGGGTATTTTCATTGATATCCTATGTAGTTTTTATATAATATGTGCTACATATTTTACGAACATATTTAAAAAAAAAATCGTGATTTTCGTCAGTTTAAAAAAACACTCAATCCATCACTTCTGAAATGTATTTCCGATATAACCATCACAAATTCAATGCTGTATTGTTATTGCTTAATCTAATCAAATCTAATCTAATCTAATCTAATACAAACGCAGCCAGTACGAGAAAGCATCCTGGAAAATGATTAGGTTAGATGAGGTCTAATCATTTTTCTTGTCTAATTGATGATTACAGCATATCTGAGATATAATATAAACATCAATACGGCCAGGCCTACTGCGTTTTATTTGCCGCAAAGATGATTCTTGGAAATGGGAACATTTCTTGAATCTACAGGGGTGGAAGGATGCGTGGACATACCGTACCAAACACTCCGATCAATGTTGTATTGTTATTGGTTATGATGTTTTCTGATAATATACTCAATAAAAGTTTCATATTTCAAGAACTAAATTGATTGAGTTTCACGCATTTTTGTTCTACCTTCAGTGAGCATTAACAAAGTAACCCCAAATCAAAATGCTGATGCTCGGCCACAAAACTAAAAAAAATATAGAGCAAATGCTTTAATTTCAAATAAACTCTAGGATCCTCGGCACATTGCTGTAAAAAATATTTAGAACATTCCTTAAAACATTATCAATGTTACCCCGTTTTACGGTATGCAACTTAAATTTTCATGTGTTGTGCAACAGCATCACCTCCAGCTGCAAACCACACAATGAAGGCACTATATTTGTGATTCAGAGATTGTGGTTTTTGTACGTGACCTATTTGTTTGAGGGTAGTTGTGTGGTAAATATTTACTTTTGATAATCAAATACTGCGAGACGTTAATGTATTCCTAGAAATCGTATCTTCCATTTGAATGGTAAACGGGGATTTTTTCTTCTTCTTAGGCGGTAATATTAATTGTAAGCACAACTCAACGAGCTTTGTATTTCAATAACACTAAACAGTTTGATGTGATAAATAATAATGCATTCCAGACTGGACATGAGATGAAACAGAATGTGAAATTAACTCTTCGAGGACCAAACTGAAAATGAGCTCGACACTTTTTTTTTCAAAATGACGTATCTCTGAGTCTATTTATTGTTTTCAAATATACCGTTGATAAACGGTTCCAAATTGTGACCTGATTAGCCTCCCATAATCGGAACTCCTTTGGTTTGAAACTGACAGTGTTTTCTTTATTCCACTGAGAGAAAATTTGGTTGATTTTCTTGTAGGAAATTTTCTCAGCTATAACTTTGCTGGGATCGGTTTTTAGTCAAGCAACAAATAAGATAGTTATAAGGGCAGGTGAACCAGTGGTAGTGGAACTAAGTTATTTTATTTATTATAAAATTAATGTTTTATATGCATACTATTTTTAAACGCCAATATTAGCTTCCAATATTTAGCTTGCTTGAACAATATAACATTGTGAATAAATTGTATGATTATTTGGCAAACACTGTTACAGTAGTTGTGATAATTGCTAACTTTGGTTCCTTATAATAGTGGAACGCACTGGTTTCATATGGGTTCTTCTATTAAAGGAACGCTTTCTCAACTATAGGTGCAAAGGAATCAAAATCTTAAGGAAAATAATGGTTTTTCCGTATATTTTGGGCTAATTTTAGGTTTGAAATGTGCAAATCTGCTTTATTTTATGAGAACACCCGATGAAAAATAAAGTTTTCCGATTAACCATAATTATTCCGGCATCACCCTCCTACCACAGCTGTAGTTATACCACGAATTTTTTGTGGGAAAACAAACATACATAAATTGATGACTACAAAATGTTTTTTGTTTTTGAAAAATTCAAAATGGTGGCTCTCGTCGGCCTCTGCGCACGAAACAATGTCCACTGCTGTCAATTGTAGGGCCTTCCGTGGTAAACTGAAATGAGTAACTGTCATATATCATGAAACTACATAAAATTTCCTACGGCATATACCTAACCTAAACAAATTTTTAACGAAAAAACCTAACCTAAAATGTCTCATATAATTGAAATGAAATTTTAGACACAGTTGTAAAAAACTGAATTGCTTTTTCAGAATAAATACACACTGAATATGAAATATCCATAAAAATAATTTTAAAAAACTGCTTAAACTACAATAACAAAAAAGTACATTTTTAAGAATGTTTAACTTATGTTCATTAGAAATCTTATAAAAAATACTAAATTTTCAGAAATGGACACAACGCACAATTCAAATTTTATCCAAAATTTAATAATATTAACTTTAATTATAAAAAATTTCAACTTTTTTTTCACGCATTTTTATGTGATTTGTTGAACGTAAGAAATGATTTTCAGGACTAAAAATATGTTTTGAGACAAAACGGCCGCCCAAACTGAACCAAGTTGTCGCAAATCAAAAATTATGCGAAGTTTTATGTAATTTGGAGAGGGAAAAATAAAATCGATTTGTCAGTTGGCTCAGCTTTCAAAGCACGGAGCAGAAATCCAAATTTCCCCAAAAATACATTCTTTTGCGAATTCAAACCCAACAATTCTAGATAAAAAAAAATGGAACAACCAAATGTAAACAATGACTTTAAACTCAAATTTATCGAGAGCCAAAATACATTCAAGCAATCTAACACTAGCATAGCGCAAACTTCCTCCATGGGCGGAGACGAACCAGTCCAGGGCTGAAAGTCTCCTTAATAAAGGTATAAAAAATAAAACTTCCTCCATAGAATGGCATTGTTAGTTTTCATGGGTGTGTTTTGAGTCTCGAGAAATTTGCGTTTAAAGTCATTGTTTACATTTGACTGTTCCACCTATTTCATTTGTTGGTCTAGAATTGTGCGCGCTAAAAAAATCTACATATGGTCTATTCTTTAAAATCTTAGCCAAACTATCAAATGGCATTACAAAAATCCCACTTGGAAGAAAAAGCAAACCAAATTACCATGGAAATATGGGATTTTGGGAATTTAAGCCTAGTTTTCCTAACACATGAGCGTGCTAATAAAATCAACTGGCAGTATGGATTCAGCAAGGTTTCCTAGCTTTTAAAGGGCAGAGCAAATATCAAACTTGGCAGAACAGGCAAACCAAATTTTGATGAAAATACATTCTTTTTTAAAGTGAAAACCGGTTTTCTGCCCGTGCTAAACAAATCTACATGTGGATTCATCTTGGTCCTTTCTATAAAATTCAAGGCTAACTTTCAAATGGTAGAGCAAGTGAATCAAATTTCCGTAAAAATTCGTACTTTTGTGAACACGGTTTTCTCAAAAATTGTTCGTGCTAATAAAAACCTTTCGTCACGAACAGGCTTCCAATAGTACAGCCTTCTCGCGGCAGTTGGTTTATACCTGAATTGACTGTTGCTTTGTGTGCTTTACTACCGCTTGCTACCGTCAGGGTTGCCAAAAGCAAATATGTGTTTTTGCTTATAAAAATCTTTTCATCTGTATTTCTTCTTCGAAAAATCTGTATCAATATCTGTATAGTTTTAATATTGCGTATTTCGCTCCAAAATGAACGAAGAAGTGTTGGAAGTGCGGTATCGGTTATAAAACAGCGCTTTTGCATCAAATCGTATTAATACATTTTGCGCCGAATACATTAATAGCGGTAAGCTTCAACTTGGATTTACTTTTAATACCGTTCCTGTTTGGAAAATCTGCCAAATATTTGCTTTAGATTGAATTGGTTAATAGCACCGTCGATACCAAATCAACCCAACATTCGTTATAGGGATTTTTTTTTCCTTTGGTTTGTTTTTTTCCGTCGATCTTGTTTTCCGTGCTGAGCACCAATGCTACCGACGTGCCAGGAAGGCAGCTCCCACACCTGGACCCTACCTATCGACCCATCAACTCATGAACCGGGGACCAACGGCTTTACTTCCAATCCGAAGGAAGGCGTGATCAGATATGTTATGCCTCAGAACATCCCGGCGGCGCCGACTGGGATTGAACCCTGGCCTGCTGGGGTGAGAGGTAATCACGCTTACCACTACACCACCGGCGCCGTTTTTTTTATTGGGATTTAAACTGAGGATAATATCAGTTGGTGCTTACCGCCATAAGATCATTCTAGATTAGTAATAAAAAAAAAACAAAGTACATATATGCAATTTGTGACAGTGCTGTCATGCAGTTGTGTGTGCCCGATTACTTCACCCCGGTAATCCAGTTCATTGAGTTCTACACTCTAGAGGCAAGGTTACGGTAAAATGAAAGTAAGACTCACGCAAACATTTAGCTGAATTAAAGACATACCTCAAAATATCTGTATATACTTTTACCCAATCAAAAAATCTGTATATCTGTATATCTGTATATACAGATTCTTGGTTTAAAAACTGCTAAAAAATCTGTATAAATGCATATTATTCTGTATTTTTGGCATCCCTGGCTACCGTACGTTCAGATCTGAATTCGAAGTGTATTGGCAACAGCGCACGCACGAAAGAATGAAAGCTGTATTAGAACAGTCGCATCTATACCCGCTTTGCAAAAATCATCGTGCTTGGAACGTAGTGAACCGAATGGGCTGTATTTTCACATTTCTTTATGACCAGGTTTTCAATGTTTCTGTCGTCATGACAGCCTTCACAAACCGACGACATCCCTCAGCTTACTCAAGTGGCTGTCTCGAAAAGGCTGTCACTAGACATTATATACAGTTGATATACGGCAGTGGAGTATGGAAGAAACCCAGAAGAATGATCCCGAACAGACATGTCTGCCCGATGTCGAATCAATGTAAGGTCAATTTATTATCGACGTCGGCCAAATGTCGGGTCGATGTCGGCTCAATTCTGTGTTTATGTCGGGTCAATGCAAACAAAATTTCAAATACAGCAGCAACGAATCGGCAGTTTGACAGACTGCTTGTTGTATGTACGAGTAACGTTACGAAAGACCATCCGAGGCTGTCATAGCCGAACGAACAAAATACATGACTAAGAACGAGCTGTCGTGTACTGAACAAGACGGCAACATTGCATATCGTATAACAGCCTCACTGTGGTCTGTCGCTTATAGCTCAATCTCAAGGCTGTCGTAGGAAAAAGAAAGCGACAGCCGTTGAAATACTGTCATGAGGCGGTACTTTTGGTATGCCTGGTCACGAATGGATTCAACTTGATCCATTATTTAAAATTCAAGCCGAACTTTCAAAGAGAGGGGTAGAAATTCAACTTGGCAGAACAGGCAATCTAATTTTTCAAGAAATGCATACTTTTATGAGTGTTTAAAAAAATATGCTGCAACGCATGGAATTAGGATCATTCTTTAAAATTCAAGCCTATCTTCGAAAGAGTGGCGCAAAAATCGAACTCAGCAGAACAGACAATCCTAGTTTTAATGAAAATCCTTTCTTTTGTGCATTTAATCCTAGTTTTCTCAACAATTGTGAGTGCTAGAAAACTTGAAGCACCAACTCTGGTCCCTCTCCCCCTTGTAGCGTATATTTTTCTACATGGTTGGTCACCCTAAAATGCTACGTGATTTAACGATCTTCCCTAAATAGCGTTGCTGACCTTGCATCTCGGTTTATCATTTCTTCCCTATACCGTTGAAGTTGGGGTAAAATTGTCTTAAACAATTTGAAGCTTTGCAAGAAAAGTGTTTAACGACATCCTGTATAAGTCATCTGAACGTGACTCAAACAAGAAATTAATCATTTTGTCAAGCTTCTGCATTCATGTTCCATCAGATGTCACTACTATTGTTTGCGGTGACATCTATCGGAAACTAGACACAATCTGTTTTCCTATAATTGTTCACAGAGGACACTGCAGTGCAAAACATGTCTGGTACCTCTATATATGCATTTAGATTATTATTCGAAGTCCCTCCTTTTTTACACATTCTGCACACCAAATAGCTCACCCCACACATAATTTTCCGCCGAATTATATGTATGGGGCGGGGCATAAAGTATCTTTTGCGCAGAATATGGCAAAAAGGAGGGACTTAAAATGTAAAAGCAAATGCATATATAGAGGTACCAGACATGTTTTGTAGTGTCAGGTACTCTATTTTGTAATCTGTGAAAGGGAAATCACAAATCGAGTGTGAACAAAATACATGGCATGTTGAGAGATTGAGCTCGGGAGAGAGAATTTCTCTCTCAAATTTGAATTGTTTTGGTTCTCTGGGGACTGGTAGTAAAGCAGGTAAAATTGTATGGGGAAAAATCATTTTTATTTAATTGTAGCTTGTTAAGCATTAATTTCCGGGAAAAAACTGAACGACAAAGCCCCTGAATAATTTTTTTAGGTTGTCGTTCACTTTTTTTTGACCTGAATATGCACCGAAAGTGAATTATTCCCAGTTCTCTCAATTTCTATATGGGGATTTTTATCACTTCCTACCAGCGGAACAGCGCCATCTCTGTGGAAAATGGTCGAACAAAATGATTAATTGAAATTAAATGTCAGGGTTAAAAACTCAATTGTTCTGGAGCACCCTACACACTTCGTTTTTTCTACCGAGCTCGGCTATGTAAATCTCGGAAAAACAAAAAAAAATTTCTGAGATCTCAGCAAACATTTCATTTGTTTGCTGAGATTCAGATAAGCATTATCCTAGACTCAGCAATCAAATGTAACTTTTGCTGAGATCTCAGTGAAACTTATTTTTGCGGAGATTTGCACAGCCGAGCTCGGTAGCAAAAACTAAGCGTGTAAATCAATTCGGATAATTTGCTCGAAAATAAGAACTTGCAGAGATTGGAAACATTTTCATTTGAACAAGGTTGCTTGAAATTTACTCAGTTGGTGTTTAATTTCAATGATAAGAAAGTTAGTTTTATATTATCAATTAATATCAGGACCACCCTAGTTTATGCAAAGGTCAAAAGAAGGAAAAATTAATGTAAACAAGGACACCCCAAACGTCCAAAACTTATGGCAAAAGCACAAGAACTTTTGTCTTGCAATATTCCCATCATCCCGATTGTGCTGTGTGCATCTATACTAATTTTCTCCATAAAACTGTAGAAATTCTATACAGAAATCTACTGGGACTCACTCTAAAATTATTCTCAGCATTCTCTTCGTATTTTTCAAAACTATCTTGTGGAAGTATTTTCCCAAATCATTTTTGAATTTGCTCCGCATTCCTTAAGACCTATCCTCAGAATGTCATTCGTTATGAATTCTCCACGGATCCTGAGGAATGTGGACCTGTTACCTGTATAAAGAAAAGAGAAGGATTAGTAATTTCCATTCAATTCCACTAACTTAATTGCGTATCCTTATCCTTATCCGAAACGTGAATTTCGACGCCGCTGTCTTGTACTAATACTCGAGTATTTGTCATGACGAAATACGAACTGGCGTAAATCCTTCTCTCTTTCTTTTTCCACGGAATTTTCTTGAAACTTGTTACTGTCATATCTCGTAAACCGATCTAATCATACTAATTCGTTTATTATCGGGGTTAACACCAGTTCCAACCCAGTGCGAAACCGAACTTTTTGTCAGTGTGAACCTCAACCTGAGCTAGGTTTTAAAAACAAACGAGCAAACTGACGTTTGTCAGAAAACAAGCAGACCCAATCTCCAGGTTGGAACTGAATAATAAACGAATTCGCTATAAGTACACTGCGCAACCTTTATCCATGCACCTATACAATGCATGATATCAGTGTTTTTTGCGCATTAACTTAAGTCTTTTTACGCCACTAAAGCACATGGCCATGCCTTGTGTACCTTCTGCCTCGAAATGTGTACTTCAACCACGCGCAAAAAACACACTTTTGAAACATGATTTTTATCATTAATTTCCTTGGATATTTTCAAAATGGTTATCCATCACTAGAAAAAGCATTAGTAAAGGAAAATCATAATTCGAATCAATTGAAATTTTCTATTTTTATTCGCTTGAAAAAATACCGCTCATTTTTCGGAGATTTGACGTGGCTGCTATTGGGTTAAAGACGTAAGCAATTATTTGTTACTTAATTTATCGACCTTTTAATATTTTGATTTAATTTTAAATTACAGCATTACAAATACTCATATATCCATATCTAATCCCATATTTTTTTTTAATCCCATCTCTCCAGGTCTCGGCAAAGTTTCCCTGACTGACATCGAAGCGGCCCTGCCCTTCTGTACCCATCTGGTGTACGGCTTCGCCGCTGTCGACCCGGATTCCAACAAAGCCGTGAGCCGTAATGCCAACCTAGATCTGGACACCGGCAAGGGCAACTACCGCCTGGTCACCGCCCTCAAACGCAAATTCCCCGGCCTCAAGGTCCTGCTGGGAATCGGTGGCTATCGTTTCTCGGCCGCTTCTCCAAAGTACCTGGAACTGCTGGAATCCGGAGCCGCTCGCATCACCTTCATCAACAGTGTCTACTCGATTGTGAAGACGTACGATTTCGATGGTATCGATCTGGCCTGGCAGTTCCCACAGAACAAACCCAAGAAGATCCGCTCCTCCCCTGGCAAACTGTGGCATGGATTCAAGAAAGTCTTCTCCGGCGATAGCGCCTTGGATGAGAAGGTCGACGAACACCGCGAGGAATTTACTGCTTTGTTGCGTGAAATGAAGAATGCCTTCCGCTCGGATGGATATCAGTTGGGAATTACCGTTCTGCCACACGTGAATGCTTCCATGTTCATGGACATTCCAGCCATTGTCAACTATCTGGACTTTGTTAACATTGAGGCCTACGATATGCAAACCCCCGAACGTAACAAGAAGGAAGCTGACTTCTATGCTCCGATCTATGAACTCACCGACCGCGTGCCCGGAAACAATGTCGATGGATTGGTCAAGCTCTGGTAGGAGTAAAATTTCTCACTAAATCGAATTATTTTCTAACCGATTTATTTTCTCAGGTTGAACAACCACGCTCCGGCATCGAAGCTCATCGTGAGCATCCCAACTCACGGCCGTGGATGGAAGATGAACGAAGATTCGGGCCTGACCGGAGTTCCTCCTCTGCCGGCAGATGGTGCTGCCCCAGCTGGTCCCCAACTGCAGCAGGAAGGATTCTACTCATGGGCTGAAACGTGTGCCAAGCTGCCCAACCCAAGTAACACCGCTCTGAAGGGTGCCGATGGTCCACTGCGCAAGGTGGGAGATCCCACGAAGCGATTTGGCTCTTATGCGTACCGTTTGCCCGACAGCAGCGGTGAGCATGGAATTTGGGTTAGTTATGAGGATCCGGAGTCCGCTGGCAACAAGGCTGCCTATGTGAAGGCCAAGGGATTGGGCGGCATTGCGCTCAACGATTTGGCTTTTGACGATTTCCGGGGAAGCTGTGCCGGTGAAAAGTACCCGATTTTGAGGGCTGCTAAGTATAGGCTATAAGGTGAGACGTGAATGACCAGTAATTGACATGTTTTGTAAGAGTTGATCTTGATTGAGCAATAAAGTTGTTAATTTGATGCAAGGATTTTTTTCGTTCTGGTAATTACCACCAAAGAGTTCCTCATTTATCATAAAAACATTTGAAAGATGCCATTGTGGGCTCGAGTTCCAGATTTTGGTCGTTGAGATGTACTGAGTCAATAAGCCATTGATTGCGGCCAATCAATGCTTGCGTTCATTTCATTTATACACCCTCAAACTGTATTCAAATGCATTTACGATAAGAAATAACCTCTCCTCAACCTCTATACAACCAAATCTGGCAAACTTAGTCAGCTACTTATGGCTGTTGGGACGGCCAAGCCTCGAAAATCTTAAAGTCATACTCCTAACTTCTTAGTCAAAACGTTTCAATTGCCACCCTCGATATTATGAAACCTTTGCTACCGACAAACTTGAAAACAATCTGGCAACGCTTCGAAGAGGTTCAAGAACGTTAGCTTCCCACCCCGAGTTCAGATTGACGGTGACGAAATCGAGGTGGTGAACGAATGTTGGGTATTTCTTGATAGAGCTAGAATTAGGACGTAACAGCCTTTGTAAACAATGACTTTTCTCGTTGATTTCTAGAAATTTAAGGCACGCCATCACAAACCAACATATCCATCGGGTAGGAGAAGTCTTCCTCTACTCGATAGTGATGTCGATTTTCCAGGGAGAGGCATGACTTTCAAGAAATCATCGAGAGAAGTCATTGTTTACAAAAGCTGTTGCGCCCTAATTTCTGCTCTATCAAGATTTAGGCTCACTAGTGACCACCGATAATGATAGCAGCAGATAAATTCAAAGACGGATTATGACAGGGAATCGTGCCTAGATTGAACTCTGAAGGTCGTATAAAATTCGCCGCTGCACGAAGTTGGCTCTCTGCAAGACGCTGATTACCCAGCAAACAATTTTAGCTACATACTAGGTTAAACAGGCTAAAACTAGCTGTGTAAGCCAATATTTGGGTGTATAAGCTAATCTGCAGCTAAAATTACCTGGCCTAAGCTCGTGGAGATCCAACGGCTGTTTTCGAACGGAACCCGAGCATGAACGAATATCTCGATACCTTAAATTGGTATGGATGAGCCTGACATAAGAGGTAAAATACCTAAAAATAATACCTAAAAAATGTTCCCACAATACCATTCCAATACCAAATTATGATACCAGGTATTTACAAAGTATTTTCCATGTAATTTTTTGGTATCATTCTTTGGTATTTTACCTCTTATGCCATGCTGGTTAATACCAAATTTTGATATCAGATCAGAATTAGGTATTCATTACACAGCAAAAAAATAATTTTGATTTCACGTCAAAGTGGATGCACTACAATCATGTCGAAAATATGGTGTAATATTACTTGCTAAAAAGGACAAAATTATCATTAATACAATGCATGAACTGACATTACGCTGCTTTTACTGCATTTGTTTATTTATGTGGTCATAAAAATTACATGAAATTTTCGACATGATTGTAGTGCATCCACTTTGATGTGATATCAAAATTATTTTTTTGCTGTGTAGTTATTTTCTCCTGCTCGGGAAGGTGTTGCGGACCATCTACAGTGGAGTGCAGATGGAAGACGGAACGTGGAAGATGCGAATGTACCAAGAAATTGCACCACCAGGCTACCCGAGCAAAGTAAAATAACAACCTGATCATTTTGAAAACAAGTCTTGATATTCCAGATATCATTTTGTTGTCAGTTGTTATCGCATAACTAGTTTGGTTATCAGTCTCGACTAATTTTGTTATAGATATCCGAGCAAAGGATTATACCAAATTGATAACAAGTTCTGATACCCGCCCAAGTAACATTTTAAGTTTTATGAAATACTACAAAGCAATTATAAAACAACATTCATATAACCCTGGACAAGGCTATTCTGTCATTAATGCATCCACCATAACCTCATTAAGACTAGAATATGACTAGTTGGCCCACCCTGGAGAAGGTTCTGAAGGGTGTATTCTCGAAGCTCTTCAAGATTGATTTACTGCAAAAGGTTGTATGACGAACGCATTGAGAACCATTTGAAAGCTACAATAAAAGCTATTTAGCAACAATAAAAACCCTTTCCAAGCCGTTTCCTCTAGCCGCATGCTGAATCCACTAAGAAAGCATCAATCAAGATAGAAAAGGATTTATGAATCCGATCATATAAAAATAATTAAAATAGAAACTGATGGTATAAAAATCTTGTTGAATATACTAATTTATTACAATAGTTCTAAAACTAGTGCCATATTAAATTTTATGTGAAATGTACGTGAAAACATAGAAAAAATTAAGTCCACCCTCGTAAAACGTCGATGTGACCAATTATTTAACATTGTAAAAAAAATATATTCTTCAGATCGAGCTTGACCGAGATTTTTTTTTATTACTTTCGCATTTAAATGTTTGCTCATTGCTAAATTTACCAAAATATAGTTATATCTAAGCGGGGGCGACCCCGGCCTAGTGGTTAACATCCATACCTCTCACGCCAAAGTCACGAGTTCAAATCTCACCCCCGGACAAGTCACGAATGACCCAAGAGTGATAAAGTGACTATAATAAAAAAAAAAAGTTATGTCTAAGGAAATATTGATTGAAAATCGAAGATTGTAAAAAACAAGCAAACAAATTGTAACAATTGGCATAAAAGTTGATTTTAATGGGTCATTTGTGAAAAAGTTGTTTTGCTTTCAAGAATTCCTTAACAAATTAATAAGGTTTTAAAATTGCTTTTATGAAGAAAACTTGCAGGCTAAATTGTATTTATCTAAAGCCACTTTGCTTGATCCTAACCCGTTCAGATTTATGGCAGCATTTATGGAGGCAAAGTTGCCTGCAAAAAGTTAAACTTTAAAGTTTGTTTATCTTTCGATAGTTGCGCTGTGAGATCCAGGATTCTTCCAGGCGGTTTTCTCCCGATGGATTGGGAGCAGTTACTCCGATTATTTGCGATACTAGTTTTACAACATTGCGCTTTTCGAACAGCTGGAAGCGCAATCGTTCCCGAAAAAGATCCCCTTCTTCCGGATGGTTACAGAAGTGCACCATCCAACGATGCAGAGATGTACGGTTGAATGAAATTTTCGAAGAGTCTTTCGCCGAATAAAATCGCTGCTTTGGATCGGAAACCAGCTGATCTGCGCTAACTAACAGTTTCAGTGGTTTGTTGTCGGTTGTTATTTTGATAGTCATCGCAAGATCTGGAGAAGGCTGGTATGTTTTTCAACTTTAGACAATGTTTTATGAGTTCGAGGGCCCCGCTCACTTTACTCTTCTCCGACAGATGGTCAGCCGTTAGTGGTGTGCTGGTTCTTCCAAAGAAGTAAATTTATCTGAAATTGACTTGATTTTTTCATCCTACTTCGTCTATCCTTCGAGATTTCCTTGTCATAAATGTGGCATTTATTAACTATGAGGAACCATCTTTTAAGCTCAATTTGTAAACAAAGTAATTGGGGAGTTAATGATGCTTTTTAAAAAGGCTGAAAAGCAACAATAAATGCTTTTTTCTCTAATGCAAAACCTAATTGTTTTATGGTTGCTTTTATAATAATAGAACACGTTTATAAAGTATTTTATCATGACATTAATAAACAATTGCTAATGACGTTTATGCTTGAATTACAGAACAGTTTTAAGGAGGGATTGATAACTTTTTTAAATTTATTTTTAAAACAAGGCAGTTTTTCACTTTCTTGCCAGACTATAAAAGGTTTTCAAAACAGCAAAAAGCTAAATTTCTAAGCAGGAATGTTTTACACTTTAAAATGCTACATTTAAACTAAATGGATTGTTCATTGCCCTTATAAAACCATCATAAATCAGAGTGGATGCTAAATGGTTACTGAATTGTTACTTGGGCGGTTATCAAGATTTGATAACTGAACATGTTATCTTTGTGGTTGAATAAACAGGCAACATAACAAAAATTATAGCAAAATAATACTTCTGTCATATCACAAAAATAACTGATTTAGTTAACATTGAAAACATCTTGATAACAAATCCTGTGATCCATGCAAATATTTTCAATAAATTTCAATTTAGTTTATCGATTTGGTATTAAAGCCTCACGCAGATAATGGAAACATGATTGGAAGTGTGGTTTTTATTTCCATGCGCATAATATTTGAAGTTTTAAAGTAACCTTGCATCATTTCACATTCTTTCATAATAACAACTGATAACAAAATTAGTTGATGTTGATAACTAAATTATCTATGCGATAACAACTGAAAACCAAATGATACCTGGAATAACAAGACTTGTTTTTAATATTATACCAGTGGTGGCGGAGGGGGGGACACCCCTCACCATCCCTTTCAAAAGTTGGAGTTTGGTAAAGAGAGATGATAAAACTGATTTGTCCCTTCCTAAAAAGTTGTATAGCTCGCTTTCTACTCTCTATATGCAATTTACACACTGCCGTATTCTAAACGGAACTATCAATTCTATACTTTCATCCCCTCATCTATCGTATATAAATTACCACTTCAGTCTGTTATTTGATATTAGCATTTTCAGCTATGTAAATCGTTGACTTCGCGCAAAACTAATACTAAACATATAGTCAAAGTTGTTATTATACTTTTCTCGTGTAATCAGCCATTGTCAAAAACCGCAAAAATCAGGCGACTACGGTGGGCTGGCTAGTCGTAAGAATGTCAGATCCGGTGAAAATGGTTCTTGGTAGCGACTCAACTGGAACAAGACGAAGACGCGACTGTCCAATTAGTCTAAATGTTGCCTGTCCGGTTTTAATCCAGCAGATATCTCATGTTCAGTTTGATTACCAAACACGAAAAGAAAAGAATAATAATAACAAAAAAACGTTATGACGTTCGAACATTTGTATGCATACCGGCAACAATCACAAGCACTATAAAACGAACAATCGCTCATTCATCATATCAAGCAAATCGATGCTGACGTGAGAAACCAAAGATTTGATTGACTTGGAAAGTATCAACTAAAAGTAAACATTCCAAGAAATGAAAATGTTTCTTTTTGTTGTGCAAACAATTTCAAATCATTAGGACATAATTCTGGAAACTAACGGGGAGCCATCCATTGATAGTGCCAAGTGATTCTCTTCTTCGAAGTAAACAGCATGAGACATAGCGGATTCAACGATCAATCATCATAGTTCCTTCCATGTTGTTTGTTTAGATTTTCAAGGAAGAACGATAGCCAGTTCGGTTCAGATCAGTTTATTCTGCGTAATTGAAACTTATGGTTGGATCATTATCTGCACTTTGGAGTACATTTTGGCTCATTGATTGAAATTATTCAATTAACGAAATCCTATATATCTCCATGACAAGAAGTAGTAGTTGTTTAAAACGTCAATAAACATAACTTATAAACAACCCAGAACTCCCTATCACTGCTTGCTTGAGAGGATCAAAACCGGAGAATGAGTTCCTTCTTTATTCAAAAATATCACCGTCACCGGTTTGAATATAAAACGATCATCCCGTGCGAGCGGCTCTTTAGTTGATCTCAGTTTCTCGAACAGGACACTTGAATATTCAGTTGTGGATTATTTGCAGTGCGATTATTTACAGTGAGTTGGTGAAAAGTGCAATAATGTGGATTTTAAAGGTTGGTGCCGTGCTGTTTCTGGCAGCGCTGGCTACGGCCAACAATGCCACCAGTGGGCCCAAGATCCTGTGCTACTACGATGGCCAAATGGCTCTGCGTGAAGGTAAGCGACTACACTGGATTGCCGGAAACTTCCAGCTGCTCTGGATTGACCTTGAGGCCTTAAGAACACTCTATCACTGCTGACACAGCCGACGCAGTTCGGGCTTAAGTTGATTAATTGATCTTGACGAGTTGCTTCCTATTGAATCAAGGTCTATCAGCACGAGCTAGTAAACATTCGCCTCGGCTCGAATAAACAAGATTATCAGTTAAGCTGACCTCATACAAGCCGGTTTAGATGGGGAGAGTGTAATTCACTCAATTTTCTTAATCTTCTGCCAGGTCTGGGTAAAATAACGATCACGGACATTGAGCTGGCATTGCCGTTCTGTACTCATCTTGTGTACGGATTTGCCGGTATCAATCCGGATAGCTTCAAATTGCGAGCTGTGGATGAAAGCCTCGATTTGGACTCGGGTAAAGGTCAGTACCGGTTGGCCACCTCTTTGAAGCGTCGGTATCCAAATTTGAAGGTTTTGCTCAGCGTCGGTGGCTACAAAGATCTTTCTGAGGAGAAGCCCTATGAAAAGTATCTGACGATGTTGGAGTCTGGCGGAAGACGAACGGCGTTCGTCAACTCGGTTTACTCGACCCTGAAGACGTACGACTTTGATGGACTGGATTTGGCATGGCAGTTCCCACAGTCCAAACCAAAGCGGATGCGTGGTTGGACCGGAAAGTTATGGCATGGATTCAAGAAGCTCTTTTCTGGTGACAGTGTGCTGGACCCGAAGGCAGAAGAACACCGTGAGGAGTTTACGGCAATCGTGCGAGATTTGAAGAATGCTTTTATTCACGACAACTTTTTGCTTGGGCTGACGGTGCTGCCACATGTGAATGAGAGCATCTTCATGGATGTACCACTGTTGAAGGACAACTTGGACTATGTACATTTGGCTTCGTTCGATCAGCAGACGCCAGAGCGGAATCCCAAGGAGGCGGACTTTACGGCTCCGATCTACGAGCCCACGGAACGTATTGAGGGAAACAATGTCGATGCGGAAGTGAGCTACTGGTAAGAAGGTTCATCTTTGTTGATACTTGAAGCATAATATCAGTCCTTGATGAGCTACTCAAGGTCACTGGCAGCTATGGGAACACAATATTAAAACTATACGATGAATTGCTTGATGAAATAATCTTGGAAAAATGCTCCTTTACAACGAAGCTACTCAGATTTACTGTCCTGCCCGTGTTTTTTAGTCACAGTAGCGGAGCGACGGGCAAGCGTCTAGAATTAAGCTTCCAAAAGAAGCACCTTTTATAATCTTCTTAAGAAGCTTCTTTTAGAAACTTCTTAAGAAGCTTCTTCTAGAATGTTGTTCAGAAGCTTTTGTTGGAATCTTTTTAGAAGCTAATTTCTTTTATTTCATCGCCAACTTCTATTTGAATCTTTTCTTTAAAATATTATATTCGAAGCTTATCCTGAACACTTGCCCGTCACTCCGCTCCTCTGACTAAAACAAACACGGGTAGGACAGTAAATCTGAGTACCAACGCAATAAAGAAACATTTTTCCAAGATTAATGAGCATTTTATCTTTTATATGGCACGGAAACCATTTTCCCAATTAATATCTTGTAATTAAATTGATGCTTGTTCCCAACTTTTATGTTTAAATCCTTCCATTTCTCGATATGTTAACAACTAAATCTACCAATAATTCCTACCATTCATCCCGCAGGTTGAAAGAGGGAACACCACCAAGCAAAATCGTCATCGGCATCCCATCCTACGGACGTGGCTGGAAACTGGTGGAAAAATCCGGAATCACTGGAGTTCCTCCGATCCCGTCCGATGGACCGTCTGCTCCGGGCCCGCACTCTGAAATCCCTGGATTCTACAGCTGGGCCGAGGTATGCGCCAAACTACCCAACCCAGGCAACGCAAACCTGCAGGGAGGTGATCTACCTCTACGTAAGATTGGTGATCCGACGCGTCGTTTCGGGGCATATGCCTTCCGCATTCCGGACGAGAACGAAGAGCATGGAATCTGGCTTTCGTATGAGGACCCGGACACGGCCGGTAACAAAGCCGGCTACGTCAAGGCCAAGGGTTTGGGTGGAATTTCCATCTTCGATCTGGGTAACGACGACGTCCGGGGCACCTGTGCCGGAGATAAATTCCCCATCTTGAGAGCTGCCAAGTATAGACTGTAGACAAACCGTACCAATTGTTTCCAAGAGTATCAATTTAATATCCTATGACATGTAACAAAAAAACGACCTACGTACATAAGTATAGCTTTATAGTGGATACATTCGTTTCGCGTTTTTCAATTTCTTTCCGCTTCCTTGTGAATTGTAACGTTCATTCTTTGATTAAATATGCATCAATCTCAATACATACTGTTCACTGTTTCCGAGCGCGACTTCCACGCCGATTCTCCGAAAAGCACGAGAAGAATTTCGAGTGCAATAAAAATAGCGAAAAAGTCGAACTTGTACGATCTCTTGACACATGTTATTTGACTTCTCCCGCCGAGCACCAAGGAAGGGCAAAAGAAGTGAAACTTTTCCCCGAGATTGCTCGCAAGTGTCTGCTACAAGTGAGCAGTGTGTGCAGTCAGTCGACTGAGGAAAAAGTTGAGAAAAGGAAAATCTGAAAGAAAGTACCGAGTTGAAAGCATGTTTCTCGAACGGGTGTGCATTTTTTTATGGGACTGACACGTACAAAGATGTCTCTTCTGCTTCGGCAAAGCTGAATGTGAGGAATGTAATCACCCATTCGTTTCTATTCAATTCAATATTGTAGGTAAATAGAGCGAAATGGTTCGAGTGTTTTGCATAACGATTCAATTCATTGATACTACATATGTTGAAGTTGTGATGATTGGTTCCATAGATAAACAGTCAGCATCAATCAATGGACCGTAAACTTCACTATTTACAGCTCTGAGGTTATGGAAAGATATGGTACTGCCTATTCGATAGTGGGATGGATTCCCAGTCGTTACTCCTATACATATTCGAGAAAATATTTCCTTGTACGATCGATACTTTTAGAGTGCAGGAGTGAATGGATGAGAGGGATACCATAAATAGACAATGCGCGTTTCACTCTGAAGATTCATCCTTTTGTAGCATGCACTTCTGGCTTTGAAGGAAGGTGCAGCTATCGTCCGAAGAACGCGTTACAAACTGAATTTTACCCACCGCTTATGCTCGGCGGGTTTTCAACCAGCCAATCTGATTTCGTGTATGTGAGTAATGTCAATGGATAACGAATTACTCGCAAAAATTAGAGCGGTTGGGTAGAATTTAGTGGGTAACGCGTTCTTCGGTGGAAAGCTGTATATTAACGAATAAACTTAGCAAAGAGGTACCGTAAGACGGGGTGACATTGTGACTGCATGTATTCAATCTAACTCCCACTGGCCGGAAGTATTGTTTTTAATAATTACTTTAATTGTACAGGCTCAATCGTATAAATTTTACAAAGCTGAGTTATCATTTTTGTTATACATTATTACTGTCTTATATTTAAAGTTCAAGGAACTGGACCGAATACTCGCGGTTGCCTCGAGGCTAGTGGAGATTTACAATATTTTGAATGCCAAAAAGGGAGGTTTGAAATGTTATTTGAATATTTTTTTTAATTTTAATTAATCCTAAAACGTGAACTTATTTCTATTCATCTTGAAAATAAATATTAAAAAAACCCACACGTACAAAATACAAACTAATCACAAGGTTAATCAAACTTACAATTGTAAGGTAAGTAGTCTTAAAGTAAACATATATGAGTTTCATAAACTACAGATCGCGCCCAGCCAAAATATCCCGAACTGGAACATTAGGTTGTCTACCTCGGGCCCGAAGGGAATCGTACAGCTCAGCTCTGACTCCACGGTGCTCAGCACAAGACCAAATAATGTGATCGGCGTCTTGGTAACCTTGTCCACATTCACAGAGATTGCTATCTCCCAGCCCAACACGGAACAAGTGAGCGTTTAACGAATAGTGATAGGACATGAAGCGAGACATCAGCCGTATGAAGTCTCGACCCACCTCCAACCCCTTAAACCACGGACTCTTCGACACCTTAGGGATGATCGAGTACACTCAGGTCTTTTTTTACACGGGGGATACTTCTTCTTCTTCGCATTTCAAGCTTATTGCATATCGCATATTAGCTTATTGCGTGCTCTCAACTTAGTGTTCTAGATGCACTTCCACAGTTATTAATTGAGAGCTTTCGATGCCTGCAAGTCCAATCATACTTCTATGCCCAGGGAAGTCGAGAAATTTTCCAACCCGAAAAATTCCTAGACCGGACCGGGAATTGAACCCAGCCACCTCCAGCATGGTCTTGCTTTGTAGCTGCGCCTTTACCGACTGAGCTAAGGGAGGCCCCGGGATACGTACCGTGTAAAAAAAAAACCGTGTAAATAAAACTTACGAGATTTTGATTTATCACATGTTTAAATGTATTAAAAAGTCGGATTTTTATTTATTTATTTATTTATTTATTTGTCAGCATCAACAGACTCGATATGGTTCCAATGATGGTTAAACTTAAAATTAAAATTAAAGTCATAAGTTAAAACTACAAAACATTAAAACATGATCATTGACTGTTTCCATTTCAGAAGAAGAATGAAGAGAAACGTCTCCGAAGTGTTAGTCTTGGCAGGTGAAAATCGAATACTGATGAAACTCGGTTAAATACTCGCTGCAGTCCGCCTATTGCACCGTTGATTGCATAGTTTGTCCTACGTAGTGGCATTCTTAGCATAACATTGTTACGAAGCATTCGGGGTTGTGCGTTAATGTTTACTTGCTCCAAGATTGCCATGCAATCAATTCTGCCATGTAACGTGTCCACAACCAGCAGGGCTTTTGAAGTATCTCTTCTGGTGCGAAGAGGCTCCAAGTCGATCAGCTGGCAGCGACTTTCATTACTGGGAAAATGAAACGGGTCTCTCCAAGGTAACATTCTCAACGCGTATCGCAGAAAGCGGCGTTGAACGGACTCGACTCTCTCAGTACCATTGTTGTAGTTCGGACTTCAACCACAGAACAATATTTTAGAATGGAACGTACCAGGGAACAATACAGTGACTTGAGGTAATGGATGTCGGAGAAATTCTTAGCTGTTCTGAAGATAAAGCCCAATGTCCTTGGCGACTTGTCGACGACGTACGAGATGTGTTACTTATATGTAAGTTGAGAGTCCAGGATGACACCTAGATCTTTTACATGGCTCACACGTTCAATAATGGTGTTCCGGAGAGCATAGTGAAAAATAACTGGTTCTTTCTTTCGGGTAAAAGTGATGACTGAACACTTCGCAGGATTTACTGTCATTCGGTTCAAATGGCACCAGCTGGCAAACGCTTCAAACTGACGTTGGAGGAATTGACAATCATCGATCGAGCAGATCCGTAAGTAGATTTTGAGATCGTCTGCATACGATAGTCGTGGTCCTTCGATAACTAAATCCACGTCATTGAAGTAGAGTAAGAAAATCAACGGTCCCAGATGACTTCCTTGAGATATTCCTGACTTAGCTGCGAAAATGTCGGACTGGCAGTCACCATGGGCTACCACCAACTGACGATCGGCGAGATATGAGCAAAACCATCTCAAGAGATTTCCGCTAATCCCAAGTCTATCGAATTTGGCGATCGCGATGGCGTGGTTTATCTTATCGAAGGCAGTAGACAAGTCAGTGTAGATGACGTCTGTTTGTACCATACTTTGCGTGATGTACGATGTCAGACACAGTAGATTCGTGGTAGTAGATCGACCAGAAGTGAAGCCATGTTGATCTTCACTTAGATACTGCTTGCAATGGGAGAGCAGAGGCTCTATGATGATTAACTCGAATAACTTCGAAATTGCACACAACGATATAATTCCACGATAATTATCCACGATCCGTTAACTAGCCTTTTTCTACACAGGGAACATATGCGCAAATTTTCAGTTCGATGGAAAAATGCCACACGATATGGACAATCGGAACAGATGTTGTAGCGGTGACAGTAAGTTAGCGATATGCTTCTTCAGAAAGACTGAAGGGACACCATTCGGTCCAGGGTTGATAGAAGGCTTTAGTTTTAGTGCGGCAGTCGTTATCACTTCAGCGTTGACAACAATTCCACCCAGAGCTTGACCGGAAAGTGGAACGTTGCTTGCTGCTAGAGTCACGTATTCGTTGGTTAGGCTCTCGTCAGAGAAAACACTTGCAAACTTGTTGGAGAACAAGCGGCAGACTTCCTGTGGAGTGGAAGCGACTTCGCCGTTCAATATCATGGTCCTTTACGTACTTCCAGAAAGACTTCGGGTGCGACTTGAATTTCCTTTGAATCCCTCGCAGATAATGCAAGTAGCATTGACGGCTGACTCGCTTGAACTGATAATTGAGCTTAACGTAGTGACGTTTCAGTGACATCGTTCGATATTTAGTGAATTTCCTCAACGCGGCTCTCTTGATCGATTTCAGCTTCTTCAATTCGTTCGTCTGCCAAGGGAGGTGCGATGCAATCTGGTGAACGCTCTTAGGTACGTGTCTGTCAATGACATAAGCCAATACATGTGAAAAAGTTTGAGCAGCGGTTTCGACGTTATCAGAATCGAGTATGTTTTCCCAATCAATGCTTGACAATGCTTCCGGAAATTGTAAGACATCGTAGTGGAGATGTCTTCGAGATCCCGAATGTGATTGTCTTCAACAGTAATAACCAAAGGAGGATGATGAGGAACTTCCTTTACGAGTGGAGAAGGAGTCGACGAGATGAATGGAGCCGTATCCTGAGCGCTTACGAAACAGAGGTCTAAGCTACGATTGTTCTTGTTAACCACAGGATTGATTTGAGATAACGTCGCTGCGCTATAGCTGTCGAGAAGGCTAAGTGATCCAGGATGGAAAGCAGAACCAGCAAGGTCCGGAAAGAGAAAGCCACAGTGGGAAGGTTTCCACGAAACACCAGCGAGATTAAAGCCGCCCAGAACAATAATCTCATCGATACCCGACCAGAAGGGTATAACAATAAAATAACAAGATTATAACAAGCCTTGTTATGGATAACTGATTATGATATAATTAAATTATGGAAACTTATCACCAAGAAAATAATATAACAAATCTTTAACAAATTTAAATATATTGATTTTTTTTATGATTTTGTAACTGATTCTTAACAAGATTTTAACACAACCAGATATTATTGACCAAACCCCAATAAAAAATCAAATATATTTGTTCTTGTGATTTTCAAGCATTATATTTTCTATAAGTTTGAGAAAGTTTTGTATTTCATTTACACAGTCAATCAATCTGAGTTTTTGGTTTACAAAGCGAAATATAATTAATTTTACTTCCAGCCTCTTCATTT